TCAGAAAATGCAATTGCTTCTCAAGTTAGAGTATACTTATTACAAGTAAGATTATAAACTTTTGTAAATTTAAAAAATTGTATTATATTGTATAATTTCGAATATGTATATTTGCAAATTATATTATAATATTAAATAGTAGCTTGAGTAATATTTAAATTATACTATTTAATATTATAAATTTTACTAGCATTATATTAATTTAGTACTATAATAATTATATTTTATTTAATATTTATTTAGATTCCTATATCAAAATTTCCGCCATTAGTAATTGTATTAGTTCCAAATCGTAATAAAGAAAATACAAATGATATTTTTAATATGCATCAAACTTTGCTTGAAATAGCTGCTCAATTAAAACTTTCAATTTTGGCATTTGGTACTGATGGTGCTTTTTCAAAGTTTAATGCACAAAAAAAAATTATGAAAATTCCAACATTAAGTACACTTGAATTTCAGGATTAATTATATATATTATTAAATTATATATATTTATATTAATTTTAAATATTATAGATATTAAATTTAGTTGCCCGATTATTGAAGATGTTGGATCTATAATTAGCATTACTGATCCACTTCATGCTAAAAAAGATGCACGAAATGCATTATTTTCTGATACAAGATTACTAACTTTTGGTCATACTACAGCACGTTATGATTATATATTAGAATTAAGTCAAGATTCTAATAGTATATTATATAAATGAGATGTTCAAAATATTGACCGTCAAGATGATGGTGCTGCATACAGATTATTTTGTTCATCATTTCTTAAACAAATTTCCGATCAAAATTCTTATATAGACAAAGCTAAAATGGGTCTTTTTATCTATCTTTATGTATTTGGTAATTATATTATATTTTTAAATTAAAGTTATAAATCTAAATTTTTTAATAATTATTTAATTTTTTTAACAAATAGATGAGCTTATAGATGCATTTCAAAATCGAGAAATAAAACCATTAGATCGATGCTATATAGTTATACTTGGTTATTTTTTTTTACATAATTGGAAACATCATATACAAGTATGCATAAATGCAAGTTTTGATTTTATGAGTTTACAAAAAAATTTTTTAGCAAGCAAAACATTCAATATTTTAACAAATCTTACAGAATCAATGATAAACTTTTAGTTAAAAATTTTGATTTATACACTAATAATTATTTCAAAAATACTATATTTTATAAATATTTATTTTACAATTGATTAATTTACAATAAAATATATATTAGTAAAATATAGTATTTTTGAAATAATTATAGTTAAATTGTTAAAGCTATATAAATTTTAAAAAATAATTTAATTATTTTTAGATATTACTTGTTATTGCATATCGAGATTTTTATCCAGCATATCTTTTTATACCATGGATGTATGGCTCTGAAGGCTGTGAGCACTTTTTTGAATTAGCATGCCAATTATTACCAGATTTTTCATTTAATGATCTTATTGCTTTAGTTTCAAAAAAATCATATCTTTATAAAGCATATTCATCTGAATCAATTTCAATCCTTAAAGAAAAAACTTCTGCAGTGGGTATGATTAGTATTTTATATTATATATTATAAATATTATATTTTTTACTAATCATTATACTTTATAGGTTATTTTTCTCATTATCATGATAATAATATTTATATATATATTAATAATTTGCGGCATTGGCCTACAAATAACGAAATTAAAGGTGTTATTTATCAAGCATTTAAACATTCAAAAATATTAACAGAAAAAATTTTAGATATGATAACAGTTTCTCTTCAATTATATAATCCATTAATATTTAATAATGAAAATGATAGTGATGAAATATTAAATAATATTGATTCTAATCAAGAAAGTTTAGATGATATTATTAATATTGAAAATGTTTTTATTTCAATAGCTACAACTGAAATTAATAAGGACAATTGGGAATTACTCGATAGTTCTTATTCTAATTATAAAGATGGACAATTAACTCTTTCATTTATTTTACAATCAATTTTAAATTTTACATCAATTATATTTGATAATTTATCTGATATTTTTAATAATGAATTATTTATTAAAATAAATGATATAAATAAGGAGAAAGTATCTGTATTACCTTTAATTAAATTATAATAGCAGCATGAAGCTTATACAAGCCAGTCAATGAAACGTCAAATTAGTAGAAATCAAAACCAAATATCTGAATCTGAAAATTAAATGCAAATTATACTCAAAGCTTGGTATTATATCTTTTATCTAATGAAACTTCACGTCCTGGTATTCCATGTCAAAATATATGGAAATTGCAATTGCGATTAGATAATTTAATAGATTCTAATGATCAGCAATCATCTAGTAAGTAGATTAAAAATATATATTATATATTTTATTTGAACTATTTAATTATATTTTATTTAAACTATTTAATTATTTTAATATTTATTAGTGTTAAACATTTCAAATATTACTATTGCAAATGTTAACGAAACACATTTGATAAAACAAGAAGGATTCGCAATTGCATATTATAAAGAAAAAATTTGTATTATATACATACTTGCATTTTATTATAAGAATGGTAATTATCATTTATTTATTTCTAAACACTATTTGATTGATGATTTATCTTATATTTCAGGCAAAGTATTTTTTCCCTTTTAAAGAAATATTTTTTTATGTTTGTCTAAGTTTGGTTATTCGATTATTTCACATATGCCTTTATCTGCTATTCTTTATTATTTGGGTATTGGAAATTTTTTAAATTTTAATGAAAATTTAGGAATTTTAACTATTTCAGGAAAGGCATTGGATTTATTTACATAT